TGGGGAGTAGCAACTGGTAAGGATGGTCAGCGGGTGGGGATGGGGATGATCAACTGGTGGGGATGGTCAACTGGTCGAGATGGGGAGGGTCAACTGGTAGAGGTGGGGAGGGTCAACTGGTGGGGATGGGGATGGTCAACTGGTAGGGATGGTCAACTGGTAGAGATGGGGACGGTCAACTGGTAGAGATGGGGACGGTCAACTGGTCAAGATGGGGACGGTCAACTGGTCAAGATGGGGACAGTCAGCTGGTGGGGATGGTGAACTGGTGAGGATGGGGATGGTCAGCTGGTGGGGATGGGGATGGTCAACTGGTGCGGGTGTCCCCCAGGGTCACCCCGGCCCTTGGGGTCACACTTCCCTGGGGTCGCTGGTCCTGGTGACCACTCAGCTGGGCTCGTCCCCTGGGGTCCCTCCTACCCCGGGGTCACTGTCCCCATCCCCCCCGCGTCCCCTGCTGACCTCCCACCCCTCCTCAGGACAACAGCCGGCGGGTGGACAACGTCCTGAAGCTCTGGGTGATCGAGGCGCGAGACCTTCCCCCCAAGAAACGCTACTACTGCGAGCTCTGCCTGGACGACATGCTCTACGCCCGCACCACCAGCAAGGCGCGCACCGACAACGTCTTCTGGGGAGAACATTTTGAGTTTAACAACCTGCCGGCCGTCCGCACCATCCGCTTACACCTCTACAAGGACACCGATAAGAAACGCAAGAAGGATAAGAGTAATTACGTCGGGATGGTGAGCATCCCCATCGCCAGCGTCACCGGGCGGCATTTCGCCGAGCAGTGGTACCCGCTCAGCCAACCCAGCGGCAGCAAGAGCAAGGCGGGTTGTCCGGCTTTACGCGTCAAAAGTCGCTTCCAGACCATGAGCATCCTTCCCATGGAGCTCTACAAGGAGTTCGCCGAGTACGTCACCAACAATTACCGGATGCTCTGCGCCGTCTTGGAACCCGTGCTCAGCGTTAAGAGCAAGGAGGAGGTGGCCTGCGCGTTGGTGCACATCTTGCAGAGCACCGGCAAGGCGAAGGTGGGGGGTTATGGGGGGTG